ACTAAGTAAAGCTTAAGCTACGCAAAAAACGGAATGTTTAAATGACTGGACGCTAAAAATAGTGACGAAGGAATTGTTCTAAATTAAATGTTACCTTCGAATTAAGGCCGACAGTGAATTGTAAAGTCCATGCCTACATTTTATTGAACTGACATTTAAGAAATTGGGTGTGCGATAGACTTACCTCCACGTGGTGCACTCTGGGCAATGTATACTCATACGGCAAAAAAGTCTATTAACTGCCAGTTGACTTCTGACTTCAAACTACCATGACCCCACTGTATGTCATATTCGACTACTTCCACAGTACTCACCTCACCTTTTTAAAACCTTTGTGTCTGTCTCTTTTGCATCTTTGAAACACTCTTCTGTTCCCCCTCCCTTCTCGATTTTTTCACTTTGATATTTCTTCTTCTCTGTGAGGCCTGAAGTCACCTAAAGGGCTAATGAAGCTATCAAAATGCCTGCCATTTGGTATAAATAAATACATTTAAGAAATCATTTTGAAGAGTAACGAACAAACAAGATGGCGTCTCCAACTTCAAAGACTAAACGCCAATCTCCTCTCTATCTTCAACTAGATGAGGGGGTAGGTAAGTAAGAAAACTAATATAGTTCGCTCTTCCCACACAACCGAAATTGGCGTCGCAACTTGCTCTTAGAGATACACATGAATAACACCCAATTACTATTTCCTTCCTCTCGTCTTGAAAGCACCGCCCACTAGTCGCAAACGAGGAGGGAGATTGATATTGGGTTGGAATGACTCACTCGAATCGAAACAGGCAACCTTTGTGTGTTCAGGAGTCTGGTTAGCACTGGGAATAGAATGGCCGCCGGCAACTGATGGACCGACCCCACTGTCCATGCTGCTCTGATGTGAGTGTTGCGCAGAGGAGATCTGATGACTTGGTACTGCCGATCCGTATTCACCACCTCCTGGGTTCGAGGGATTGGGTGGTTGTGAAAGAAGTGGCAGAAGGGGAGTGGTGTCACAAAACATCTGCTGAAGGTGAGGAAGTTGGCTCTCACCACGGCTAAGCGACAACTCTTCCATATCCTGCGCCAGGTGACCTGATGAACTGGCTGGCAGGGGAGCGTTTTCGGGAGGATAGATTCCCGCTGCTCTATAGCTTGGTTGATGTAACCGAGTAAGGGATGAGGAAGGTCCAAGTGCGTAGTCACCAGAGCTTCCAGGTCCCCTTGCACCCATGCAAGAGTCTCCGTGGCCAGACACACAACTCACCGTCATCGGTGCTGGCTGACTTGCTGACCTACATGATTAGAAGCAATTATTTGATTAATATCATATGCAATAAATTATAGTCCTCGTTATCTGAATGATTTATTGTGCGAAAAAATTATATTCAACCGACCTTATTTGCCCATCTACAAGGTCAGAGTTCGTGGCTTTTTGTCCAGTCTTACTGTTTAAATGGAACTAGTAAAAGAGGTCTCAGGAATAAAGTTCCTCAACCAGGGGGGGGGGAGAAGGGTCCCCAAAGGTGCTAACTCTCACTCCAGCTTAAGTGTTACAAAAAGAACTTTCTCCAAGTGAGGTTGGGATTATTATTTATCTCTCTATTGGTTGGCGCTAAAGTAGCATTAAATATGCTTCAATTTCAATTATTGTGAGGAGTTCTCCGTTTACTTTATTGAGCGAATTGCCTGCAGCAAACTTAACTAATACAACTGATAAATAATCGCAACTAAGCTTGATAAAGGTGATGGCAATTTAAATTTTTAGTGGGTATTATAAGATAAATATTTATAATAAAAAAAATGTTTGGCCTATTCGCGTATTCATCCAAAGAAATGTTATTATAAATGAAGTTCGCAAATATTGCATTTCTGTTATCCCATGATGGCTTAAAAGATGACTTACTCTTCAGAACAATCTCATTTTTAACTTCTAACATTTCTTTATTGGAATCCAGTATTCTCTGAAGCAAATGATTATAAAAAAAATTGTCGATTTAAAAAAAAATGAGAAGTTGTTTTGCCGAGGAGGCAAAATGCGTGGCAAATTTAATGTCATAAACTCTGGCCCAACCTTGGCTTAATTTCAAAACAAATAAAGTGTACCAATGCCTTCTCTTTCCTAGTTAACACTACCTACTTTCACTGGCTGCAACACCACAGACATTGAGTCAAAGCGCCCTCATCACATGGTTTACACCCAGAATTGCGGGGGGGGGGGTCTTCATAGAAGACCTATTTATTCCCTCCTTGGTGTTGTGTCTCAGATTGGAAGGGTGCGGTTATTGATCACATAAGTGAATGCCTCTTAGGCCTCAGTACTGTACTGAGTGTTGCTAAAAGCCTGCTTTTTTCTTCTTCTGCTAAACGTACTGAACAGGAATTAAACACAGTCCCCCACTTTGAATACGCATACTTCCAAAATCGCCTTCCGATCATGCTTGGTTGAATTTGTTGAAAATGGGTTTGTGAACCACAAATACCCTTCCTTGCC